GTCATCAGGCTCCACCCATCACATAATCCACAAAAACTACAGGAGAGGCCCTCTAGTGAAAGCTTCCAGCAGAGCCCAGCCACACCGATACCCATCCCCCCTCATGTCACCTTAGCAGCTCCTTCCCCTCCGCCGCCACCAGGTACTCCTTCTTCTCCTCCGCCCCGCTGATCCCGCTCAGCTTCGGCTTGAAGCTCCGGATGAACCCGAACGATATGGGAGCCTGTGCCGGCCCGGGCGCCGCCATCACTGCCGCCTATAGGGAGGAGAGCGGGGCATGCAGGGAAACGTAGTCCTCACTCTGAGAACCCGCGACTAAAGTCTATGGGGAGAGCGGGGCATGCCGGGAAACGTAGTCCTCACTCTGAGAACCTGCCATTATAGTCTATGGGGAGAGCGGGGCATGCCGGGAAACGTAGTGCTCACTCTTGTAACCCTCCATAGAAGTCTATGGGGAGAGCGGGGCATGCCGGGAAACGTAGTGCTCACTCTTGTAACCCTCCATAGAAGTCTATGGGGAGAGCGGGGCATGCCGGGAAACGTAGTGCTCACTCTTGTAACCCTCCATAGAAGTCTATGGGGAGAGCAGGGCATGCCGGGAAACGTAGTGCTCACTCTTGTAACCCTCCATAGAAGTCTATGGGGAGAGCGGGGCATGCCGGGAAACGTAGTGCTCACTCTTGTAACCCTCCATAGAAGTCTATGGGGAGAGCGGGGCATGCCGGGAAAAGTAGTCCTCAGAGTCCTCCATAGAAGTCTATAGTCTTTTTTTTTTTATTATTTCAAACCAATTTTAAGAACTTTATTTAACCACTTGCTTACCGAGCACTGTCACCCTCTTCCTGCCCAGGCCAATGTTCAGCTTTCAGCGCTGTCGTCCTTTGAATGACAATTGCGCCGTCATGCAACACTGTACCCACATGACATTTTTATCATTTTTTTTCACACAGAGCTTTTCTTTTGAGGGGATTTAATTTCTGCTGTTTGGTTTTTTTTTTTGCAAAACAAAGAAAAAAAAAGGTTGCACTGATGGGCACTAATAGGTGGCGATGATGAGGCGGCCCTGGTGGGCATTGATAAGCAGGCACTGATAGATGGCAAAGATGAGGCGGCCCTGGTGGGCATTGATAAGCAGGCACTGATAGATGGCAATGATGAGGCGGCCCTGGTGGGCATTGATGAGGAAGCACTGATGGGCACTGACAGGCAGCAATGATGATGCGACCCTGGTGGGCATTGATAAGCAGGCAGTGATAGGCGGCAATGATGAGGTGGCCCTGGTGGGCATTGATAAGCAGGCATTGAGGAGGAAGCACTGATGGGCACTGATAAGCGGCAATGATGAGGCGACCCTGGTGGGCATTGATAAGGAGGCACTGATAAGCAGTAATTATGGGCACTGATAGGCGGCAATGATGAGGCAGCCCTGGTAGGCATTGATGGGCACTGATAGGTGGCAATGATGAGGTGGGCATTGATAAGGAGGCACTGATAGGTGGCAATGATGAGGCGGTCCTGGTGGGCATTGATAAGCAGGCATTGATGGGCACTGATAGGTGGCAATGATGAGGTGGCCCTGGTGGGCATTGATAAGGAGGCATTGATGAGGAGCACTGATGGGCACTGATAAGCGGCAATGATGAGGCGACCCTGGTGGGCATTGATAAGGAGGCACTGATAAGCAGCAATGATGGGCACTGATAGGCGGCAATGATGAGGCAGCCCTGGTAGGCATTGATGGGCACTGATAGGTGGCAATGATGAGGTGGCCCTGGTGGGCATTGATAAGGAGGCACTGATAGGTGGCAATGATGAGGCAGCCCTGGTGGGCATTGATAAGGAGGCACTGATGGGCACTGATAGGTGGCAATGATGAGGTGGCCCTGGTGGGCATTGATAAGGAGGCATTGATGAGGAGCACTGATGGGCACTGATAAGCGGCAATGATGAGGCGACCCTGGTGGGCATTGATAAGGAGGCATTGATAAGCAGCAATGATGGGCACTGATAGGCGGCAATGATGAGGCGGTCCTGGTGGGCATTGATAAGCAGGCATTGATGGGCACTGACAGGTGGCAATGATGAGGCGGCCCTGGTGGGCATTGATAAGGCAGCACTGATGGGCACTGATAGGTGGCAATGATAAGGCAGCCCTGGTGGGCATTGATAAGGCAGCACTGATGGGCACTGATAGGTGGCAATGATGAGGCAGCCCTGGTGGGCATTGATAAGGAGGCACTGATAGGTGGCAATGATGGGCACTGATAGGCGGCAATGATGAGGCGGTCCTGGTGGGCATTGATAAGCAGATAAGCATTGATGGGCACTGACAGGTGGCAATGATGAGGCGGCCCTGGTGGGCATTGATAAGGCAGCACTGATGGGCACTGATAGGTGGCAATGATAAGGCAGCCCTGGTGGGCATTGATAAGGCAGCACTGATGGGCACTGATAGGCGGCAATGATGAGGCGGTCCTGGTGGGCATTGATAAGGAGGCACTGATAGGTAGCAATGATGGGCACTGATAGGCGGCAATGATGAGGCGGTCCTGGTGGGCATTGATAAGCAGGCACTGATGGGCACTGATAGGTGGCAATGATGAGGCGGCCCTGGTGGGCATTGATAAGGAGGCACTGATAGACGGCAATGATGGGCACTGATAGGCGGCAATGATGAGGCGGCCCTGGTGGGCATTGATAAGGCAGCACTGATGGGCACTGATAGGTGGCAATGATGAGACAGCCCTGGTGGGCATTGATAAGGCGGCACTGACTGGCAGCACTGATGGGCACTTTTGGGGCTGCACTGATTATCAGTGTAGATGAATCCTTTCACAGTTGCAGGTTATCGGCAGAACTTACCTCACACCGTCACAGCATGAGGAAAGTATCGCCAATAACCTGCAAGTGTATTTACATGGTGATCAGCTGTGATTGGCCCCTTACCATGTCATGTGATCAGCTGTGTGCAAAGGACACAGCAATCAGAGAGCACCAGGTGCGTGCCGCGGTGGGAAGGACACCATATGATGCCCTCCCAGAACTGGACGACCTCACTGTAGCCGCCATTCGGCCATAGCACGGTCAAGAATTGGTTAAAAAAATGTAATTTTACACAATGAGAGATATGATTAATTTGTTACATTTATTTCATTTTTTTTTCATAATTTATTCAACGTCATTTAAATTTTTAATACAGTATGATCTATTACAGTTATTTATTTATGTTTGAATTAGTCTTTATTCTTTATGCTTCGGGGGGGGGGGAACTACAGAAGAGGGTGGAGCCATTAATGTGGGAGGGGCCTGGTAGGCTCCACCCACTACAGGCAGCCCAGCAGAACACTACAAGGATACAACACGCGGGAGACTAGAATAAAGCTGTGGGAGGGGACTGGGTAGGCTCCACCCACCACGGGTTGCCTACGGAAAATCTACGATGGGGTGGAGACAAGACCAGAGCTTCCCATGGGGGCGCTAGTTTTGGGGTTCCCTGACTTTCCTCTCACTTCCTGTTCTGGCTGTGGGACAGGAAGTGATCCTGTGTAGCGCCCCCTTGAGCATCAATAACGGCGGTCAGTCTTCTGTAATCGTTGTCTATGAGGCCCCACGGATTCTTGCCGGTGGTAGAGCCGCCCATTCTTCTTGGAAAAATACCTGCAGGTCATGCACAGTCTTTGGTGGTCTTCCATGAACCGCACATTTTGAGATCTCCCCAGAGCGACTCGATGATATGAAGGTCAGGAGACTGTGATGGCCACTCCAGAACCTTCACCTTTTTCTGCTGGTACCACTGGAGGGTCCCCTAGGCCTTGTGCTGAGGGTCATTGTCCTGCTGGGAAGTCCAAGAGTGTCCCATGTGCAGCTTTCCTGCAGAAGAATGCAAATTGTCTGCCAGTATCTTCTGATAGCTTGCTGCAACCATCTTGTCATCAATTTTCACAAGATTCCCCCTGCCTTTAGCACACACCCCAAAACATCAGTGAGTCACCACCATGCTTCACAGTGGGGATGGTATTCTTTTCACTATAGGCCTTGTTGACCCCTCTCCAAACGTATGGTTGGGACCCTAAAGCGCTATTTTGGTCCTGTCACTCCAGATTACAGTGTGCCAGATGTCCAGGTGTTGTTGGGCATATTGTAACCGAGCTTTTTTGTGGCATTGGGGCAGTAAAGGCTTCTTTCTGGCAACTCAACCATGCAGCTATTTTTTGTTCAAGTATCGTCGTATTGTGCTCCTTGAAACAACCGCACCGTCTTTTTCCAGAGCAGCCTGTCTTTCTCCTGAGGTCACCTATGGGGTTTTTCTTTGTAACTCGACCATGCAGCTCATTTTTGTTCAATTACCGTTGTATTGTGCTCCTTGAAACAACCGCACCTTCTTTTTTCAGAGCAGCCTGTCTTTCTCCTGAGGTCACCTATGGGGTTTTTCTTTGTAACTCGACCATGCAGCTCATTTTTGTTCAATTACCGTTGTATTGTGCTCCTTGAAACAACAGCACCGTCTTTTTTCAGAGCAGCCTGTCTTTCTCCTGAAGTCACCTATGGGGTTTTTCTTTGTAACTCGACCATGCAGCTCATTTTTGTTCAAGTATCGTCGTATTGTGCTCCTTGAAACAACCGCACCGTCTTTTTCCAGAGCAGCCTGTCTTTCTCCCGAGGTCACCTGTCTGGTTTTCTTTGTATCCCGGACAATTCTTCTGGCAGTCGTGGCTGCAACCTTTCTTGGTCTACCTGACCTTGGCTCGGTATCAAAAGATCCCCAAATTTTCCACTTCTTGCCCACATGGAAGAAAAATATATTTGAAATATATTTTAAAAATATTCTTCCCAAATATATTGACATATATTTGAAATGCTACAATTTTGGCCATATTCAATATATTTCAAAATATATTTAAATAAATATATATATATACAGTGAAGGAAATGTGTATTTGATCCTCGACTGATGTTGAATGTTCGCCCCTCACAAAGAAATGATCGGTCTGAAAATCGAATGTTTGGTGTATTGTAACACTGAGAGACAGAATAGCAACAACAAACTCAGCAGAAATGCGTCTAACAAATGATGACTGATCTGCATGTTCATGAGGGAAAGAAGGATTTGATCCCCTATCATTCAGCAGGATTTCTGGCTTGATTGTATACACCTGTGTCCATGGAGGGGATTGGAACACCTGAATCACATGATATGGAGGGGATTGGAACGCCTGAATCACATGATATGGAGGGGATTGGAACACCTGAATCACATGATTGGGAGGGGATTGGAACCCGTGAATCACATGATTGGGAGGGGATTGGGACAACTGAATCACATGATTTGGAGGGGATTGGAACACCTGAATCACATGATATGGAGGGGATTGGAACACCTGAATCACATGATATGGAGGGGATTGGAACACCTGAATCACATGATTGGGAGGGGATTGGAACACCCGAATCACATGATTGGGAGGGCGGGGACAATACGTTTGGCAATATAGTGTATAAAGACACATGATGAAGATCACAGGTAGATGAATGCCTTCAGATCAGTGAAATAAATGGCAGTTGTATTTGTATTCCCACCACTGAGAACAATTTGGACCACAAAACATAGAAATCCGCGGTAACCCCCCTCTAGGGAAGGTATACCCCTCCTACACTACAAATCTCCTTGTCTCTTCTCCATATGGCGATGCTACGTATAGTTGGTGTATTTTTACATTTACTACTGTCTGTGTGCCGATCTCACATTACTGGGAAGGGAAGACGTCCCCCTATGTTTAGTCACATTCTTACTCTATAGGATCATCGCTGGTGGCAGTCAGTCTTCAGCTTCATACAGAGAATTTGTGATCACGTGCTAAAAATTGCCATCGCTGTTATGGTGACATCTTCCCTCTGGACTCAAACTGGGTGGCACAACGCAAGTGAATAGAAATGTCTTTACTTTTTAACCTTTTTGCTGCCAGGGACTTTTTTTTTTGGTTTAAAAAATCACTTTCAGGTTTGAGGATTTTGTTAAAACCCCCAAAACATTATGCATTTTCCATATTCTCCAGAGACCCTGGAAAATAGAATAGTGGCAGTTCCAATATTTATATATAATTTATATATATATATATATATATATATAGTGTGTGTGCGTATGTATGTATGTATGTATATATATATATATATATATATATATATATATATATATATATATATATATATATATATATATATATATATATATATTTGAAGATGTAAAACCTCTAAAGCACTATGCATTTTCCATTTTATATATATATATATATATAAAAAAATAAACATTTATATATAAATACATCTTCAAACCTGAAATTCCTAAAAAATAATATATAAGTATGTGTATATATATATGGTGTATGTGTATATATATATACACATACTTATATATTATTTTTTAGGAATTTCAGGTTTGAAGATGTATTTATATATAAATGTTTATTTTTATATATATATATATATATATATATATATATATAATGGAAAATGCATAGTGCTTTAGAGGTTTTACATCTTCAAATATATACACATATATATGTATGTATGTGTATATATATATATATATATATATATATATATATATATATATACGCACAAACATACTCTCTCTATATATATATATATATATACCTGTGTGTGTGTTGTTATTTTTATTTGTTTAGTTTTTTTTAGGAATTACAGGTTTGAAAATTTAACATTTCTAAAACACTATGCATTCATACTCTGGAGAATAAAATAGTGGCAGTTTAATTTTATATATACATACATATAATATATATATATATATATATAACACCTGTTTTTGTGTGTATTGTTTTTATTTATTTTTATTTTTTAGGAATTTCAGGTTTAAAGATTTAAAACCTCTAAAACACTATGCATTTGCCATATTCTCCAGAGACCCTGGTAGTGGTAGTTCCAATTGTTATATACTATTATATATAAATGTTTTTATATATATATATATATATATATATATATATATATATATATATATATATATATATATGTGTGTGTAATTTTTTTTTTTTTTTGGGGAATTTCAGGTTTGAAGATTTAAAACCTCTAAAATACTATGCATTTTCCATATTCAGAGACCCTGGAGAGTAAAATAGTGGTAGTTCCAATTTTTATATATTTATATATAAATGTTTATATATATATATATATATATATATATATATATACACGTGTGTGTGTGTGTGTTATTTTTATTTGCTTTATTTTTTTAGGAATTTCAGGTTTGAAAATTTAAAACCTCTAAAACACCATGCATTCAGACTCTGGAGAATAAAATAGTGGCAGTTTTAATTATATATATATATATACACCTGTTTGTGTGTATTATTTTAATTTTATTTATTTATTTAAGGAATTTCAGGTTTGAAGATTTAAAGCTTCTAAAACACTATCCATTTTCCATATTCTCCAGAGACCTTGGAGAATAAAATAGTGGTAGTTTCAATTTTTATAAATATTATTATATATAAATGTTTTTATTAATTTTTTTTTTTAAAAAGTGGTAAACTTTTTTGGGTGCAACCTTATTTTTTTTATGCTTTTTTTATGTGATATAAACGCTTTGTGACAGGTTCTCTTTAGACCCCTGATGTCTCACATGCTCTCCATTGAAGCTAACAGAGCTCAAATTGTGACACCAGAACCCGGAATTCCAGGTTCTTTACAGCTAAGGGAGATCAAAGAACGGACATTTGCTGGTCTCCTCTCCCTTCTGCCTGGCAAAACCTGCCATGTGGTTCTCACAGGATCCCACAAAGCTTGGAAAGCATGGCGGGGGGGGGGGGGGGGGGGGGTGCACACGGGTCAAAAAAGTTTATTTAAAGTTTATAGAAAAAAATCTACACTCCATTAGCTTCATTGGAGGACAGGTGAGACATCAGGGGTCTAAAGAGAACCTGTCACAAAGCGTTTATATCACATAAAAAAAAAAATAAGGTTGCACCCAAAAAAGTTTAACACTTTTTAAAAAAAAAATTAATAAAAACATTTATATATAATAATATATATAAAATTAAAACTACCACTATTTTATTCTCCAAGCTCTCTGATGTCTTAATAAAGAGAACCTGTCACCAAAAATGCATCACGTAGGGGATTTTTTGTCCCCTGTGTAATGAAAAAAATTCAATAAAAAAAAATCTGCACTCCATTAATTTCATTGGAGGACAGGTGAGACATCAGGGGTCTCCCCTGATATCCCATTAAAGAGAACCTGTCACCAAAATATGCATCACAGTGTATTATTTTCTTCTCCTGTGTGATCAAAAGTTTACTTAAAAGAAAAAAAAAATCTACACTCCATTAGCTTCATTGGAGGACAGGTGAGACATCAGGGGTCTAAAAGACCCCTGATTTCCTAATAAAGAGAACCTGTCACTAAAAAATGCATCACATAGCTGATTATTCGTCCCCTGTGTGATGAAAAAAGTTCAGTTAAAAAAAAAAATCTTCACTCCATTGCTTAATTGGAGGACAGGTGAGACATCAGGGGTCTAAAAAAAACCCTGATGTCTCATTAAAGAGAACCTGTCACCAAAAAATGTAGGGGATTTTTTGTCCCCTGTGTGATGAAAAAAATTCAATAAAAAAAAGAATCTGCACTCCATTAGTTTCATTGGAGGACAGGTGAGACATCAGGGGTCTAAAAGACCCCTGATGTCTCATTAAAGAGAACCTGTCACCAAAAACTGCATCCTGTAGTGGCTTTTTCGTCCCCATCACAAAAAAAATTAATCACACAAGAAACCTTAAAAAAGAAACCCCCAAAATGTTTTGAGCCCCCCACCCCAGCATACACGCATGTGCGAACGTGAACGCAAGCGCTGGGGGGGCACCTACGGGCAAACACATTGTGACATATCACCGCACTCCCCAATTATTCTCGGCCTATCGTTCACAGGAAATGCTAGACTGCCGCCCAATAGGGGCTTTTAAAGCGTCTCCTATGGAATATACGAGGACCTGAAGTCCGTCGCTGTTTCACGGGCGCACGCAATTTTTAAGGCGTGGCACGTTGGGTATCCTTTTGCTCGATGCGACCTCGTCTTTTAGATTTTACAATAATCGGGTCATTTATTGCGTTTGTGTTCCCTACAATTAACTTTAGTGTATTTTTTTTTTTTTTTTACTGAAATTGTGCGTTTCCAAAATGCTTGCACTGATATCCTGTGCGATAAAACAATGGAACGCCCGCCATTTTATTCTCCAGGGCGTCTGCTTTCCAAAATTTAGAATAGGGGGGTGGTTAGGTCATTTTTTAAAAAAAAAAAATTTTATTTTTTTGATTTTTTAATTTTTTTTTTTACACGTGTGCAAAACAAACGCACAGAAAAGTGTAAAAGGCCCGTTGATCGGCCTCTGCTGTAGGGGTTAATCGGCGTCCAGCGCGGGACCCTGCGGGGCATCGCTCCCATCATCCACCTCTGCACAGCTTGTAAAGTGTGGAGATGAGGCTCTGAGAACATGTGTCCCGGCCTCAGGGAGGGGGAGGAGGAGGGTAGGGCTCATGTTTTCCCATGGAGCTCTCCAACAAGCCGCTTCTTGTCTGCTGTGATCCCAGCCATGGGGAGTGCTGACACCCTGGGACCCCCCTCCACAGTCTGAGCTATGCTGCCCCCCACCCCCAACCACATTCCTTCCTCTGATGACAACTGACCAATCACCTTTCCACAATCACCTGCTAATTCTAGCAAGACTGTGCTACCCCCCCCCCCCCCCCCCCCCCTCACCCACACCCCCTCCACCTTCACATCTGCAGCACATCCACTTCTATTCATAGAACATAGAGAGAGAGAGTTCCCGAGTTCAACCCAGAGGGGAAAAGGGGCTCCGAAATAATGGCCCCGCAGGACCCTGATGTATGGGGGACTCTGATGGGGACTGTGATGTCCAGGGGGGGGGGGTCTGCTGGGGACTGTGATGTAAGGGAGGACTCTGATGGAGACTGTAATATAAGGGGGGACTCTGATGGAGACTGTAATATAACATGGGACTCTGATGGGGACTGTACTATAAGGGGGGACTCTGACCCCCCCTTGACATCAGTCCCCATCAGTGTGCTCATCAGAGTCCCCCCTTTTAGTACAGTCCCCATCAGAGTCCCCCTTACATCACAGTCCCCATCAGAGTCCTCCCTTACATCAGAGTTCCTCCTTACATCACAGTCCCCCCTTACATCGCAGTCCCCGGTAGAGTCCCCCCTCTGAGACTCTGATGGGGATTGTGATGTAAGGGGGGACTGTGATGGGGACTGTAATATAAGAGGGGACTCTGATGTAAGGGGAGACTCTGATGGAGACTGTATTATAAGATGGGACTCTGATGGGGACTGTGATGTAAGGGGGACTGTGATGGGGACTTTACTATAAGGGGGACTCTGACCCCCCCTTACATCACAGTCCCCATCAGAGTTCTCCCTTACATCAGAGTCCCCCCTTACATCAGAGCCCCCATCAGTGTGCTCATCAGAGTCCCCCCTTATAGTACAGTACCCAGCAGAGTCCCCCCTTACATCAGAGTCCCCTCTTATATTACATTCTTTATCAGAGTCCCCCCTTACATCACAGTCCCCAGCAGAGTCTCCCCTCTGAGACTCTGATGGGGACTGTGATGTAAGGAGGGACTCTGATGGAGAATGTAATATAAGAGGGGACTGTGATGTAAGGGGGGACTCTGATGAGTAAGGAGCAGGCTGTGTATATTTGTATAACACACACAGCCCCCCCCCCCCCCCCCCATGCCTCCCTCTATCAGAGCAGAGAACTCTTCCCACACACGTAGGGGGCGGAGTCTCAGCACTCTTAGCGACCCTCCTCTTTCCTTATACGGCTTTAGAGTGACTGGGGGGGTGTTCCCTCCTGTGTGCACGCCCCGCCCACACCCAGCTAGCAGACAGCTCCCACCACGCCCCCAGACAGCTCCCACCACGCCCCCTAGACAGCTCCCACCACGCCCCTAGACAGCTCCCACACCGCTCCATCAGCTACTCCCTCCAGTGCCAGCATGTCGGAGCCGAGTGCCCAGCAGAGCGCCAGCTGTACCGAGCAGGTCCGAGCGTACATCCGGACCAAGAAAGGGCTGGTCCTGGCAGCGGAGATCGTAAGAGAATCCCCCTCCCCCTCTGGGGTACTCGAACTTCTGTCTGCCCCCCTCCTCCTATCTCTGTATATATCATCACTCTCTGTATACCACCCCTACCCCCATATATATATATATATCATCTCTCTGTATACCCCTCCTACCCCCATATATATATATCACCACTCTCTGTATACCACCCCTACCCCCGTATATATATATATATATCACCACTCTCTGTATACCACCCCTACCCCCATATATATATATCACCACTCTCTGTATACCCCTCCTACCCCCATATATATATATATCATCTCTCTGTATACCACCCCTACCCCCGTATATATATATCACCACTCTCTATACCCCTCCTACCCCCATATATATATATCACCACTCTCTGTATACCCCTCCTACCCCCATATATATATATATATATCATCTCTCTGTATACCACTCCTACCCCCATATATATATCATCTCTCTGTATACCCCTCCTACCCCCGTATATATATATCATCACTCTCTGTATACCACCCCTACCCCGTATATATATATATATATATATCATCTCTCTGTATACCACTCCTACCCCCGTATATATATATCATCTCTCTGTATACCACTCCTACCCCCGTATATATATATATCATCTCTCTGTATACCCCTCCTACCCCAATATATATATCATCATCACTCTCTGTATACCACCCCTACCCCCGTATATATATATATATATCACCACTCTCTGTATACCACCCCTACCGCCGTATATATATATCACCACTCTCTGTATACCACTCCTACCCCCGTACCCCGTATATATATCATCACTCTCTGTATACCCCTCCTACCCCCGTATATATATCTATCACCACTCTCTGTATACCCCTCCTACCCCCGTATATATATCTATCACCACTCTCTGTATACCACCCCTACCCCCATATATATATCATCATCACTCTCTGTATACCACCCCTACCCCCGTATATATATATCACCACTCTCTGTATACCCCTCCTACCCCCGTATATATATATCACCACTCTCTGTATACCACTCCTACCCCCATATATATATATCACCACTCTCTGTATACCACCCCTACCCCCATATATATATATATATATCACCACTCTCTGTATACCACCCCTACCCCCGTATATATATATATATATATCACCACTCTCTGTATACCACCCCTACCCCCGTATATATATATCACCACTCTCTGTATACCACTCCTACCCCCGTATATATATATATATCACCACTCTCTGTATACCACTCCTACCCCGTATATATATATCGCCACTCTCTGTATACCACCCCTACCCCGTATATATATATATATATCACCACTCTCTGTATACCACTCCTACCCCCATATATATATATATCACCACTCTCTGTATACCACCCCTACCCCGTATATATATATCACCACTCTCTGTATACCACCCCTACCCCGTATATATATATATATATCACCACTCTCTGTATACCCCTCCTACCCCCGTATATATATATATCACCACTCTCTGTATACCACCCCTACCCCCCGTATATATATATATCACCACTCTCTGTATACCCCTCCTACCCCCGTATATATATATATCACCACTCTCTGTATACCACCCCTACCCCGTATATATATATCTATCACCACTCTCTGTATACCCCTCCTACCCTACCATAATTGACCAACTGCCATTATATTCTTGACACACTGCCATGCCACTTTTGACCCACCATCATTCTATGCCTGATGCACCACACATTCTAACCTTGACCCGTCACCATGTCACACTTGACCAGGTAACCCACTGGCATGCCACACCTGAGGAACCTCCATCCTACACCTGACACACTGTCATGCCACATTGCCCCTCCACCCTTCTATACTTGAAGCAATGTTGTGCCATAGTTTACCCACTGCCATGTCACACTTGACCCACCATCATTCTGTACTCGATGGATTGCTATGCTATAGATGACCTACTACTTTACCACACTACTACACCACACCAACTGCCACTCTATCCCTAATCCATCGCTATCACTCTCTTGACCTATTAATATGCCACACTTGACCAGTCAACCCACTGCCATGCCACAATTGAGCCATCACCATTCTATACTTGGTGGACTGCTGTGCTCTAGTTTGACCTACTGCTGTGCCAAACTTGACCAACTGCCATTCAAACTCTAAACCATCATTATGCCATACCTGACCCATCACAATGCCACCCTTGACCAACCTCCATCCTGCACCTGACTCACTGCCATCTCACAATTGACCCATCACCATGGTACACTTGACCCACCACTATGCTACATTTGACCAGTTGACCCTCTTCCATGCCACACTTTACCTACTGCCATGCCACACTTAACTATCCTCCATTCTATACTTGATGCACCACCATGGCGCACTTGACCCGCCCTGCCATACCACATTTGACCCACCACTATGATGCACTGTTTACCTACCACAATGCCACACCTGACCAGTTGACATACTGCCATGCTACACTTAACCAACTGCCATTCTAACCCTAATCCACTACTGTGCCGTACTTGTCCCGTCACCATCCCATCCTTGACCAACCTCCATCCTAGACCTGACACACTGCCATCCCACACTTTACCCATCACCATGCCACACTTTACCAGTTGACCCACTGCCATGCCACACTTGAGCCATCACCGTTCTATACGTGATGGACTGCTGTGCTCTAGTTTACTCACTGCCATGCCACACTTGACCAACTGCCATTCTAACCCTAATCCATCACTATGCCATACTTGACCCATCATAATGCCACCCTTGACCACCCTCCATCCTAGACCTGACACACTGCCATCCCACACTTTACCCATCACCATGCCACACTTGACCAGTTGACCCACTGCCATGCCACACTTGAGCCATCACCATTCTATACGTGATGGACTGCTGTGCTCTAGTTGACTCACTGCCATGCTACACTTGACCAACTGTCATTCTAAGCCTAATCCATCACTATGCCATACTTGACCCATCACCATGCCACCCTTAACCAACCTCCATCCTACACCTGACTCACTGCCGTTTCCACACTTTACCCATCACCATGCCACCCTTGACCAACTGCCATTCTTACCCTAATCCATCACTATGCCATACTTGACCAATCACCATGCCACCCTTGACCAACCTCCATCCTACACCTGACTCACTGCCATGCCATGTTGGACCCATCACCATGTTAAAACTGACCTACCTCCATGCCACACTTGACCAACTGTCATTCTAATCCTAATCCATCACTATGCCATATTTGACCCATCACCATGCCACCCTTGACCACCCTCCATCCTAGACCTGACACACTGCCATCCCACACTTTACCCATCACCATGCCACACTTTACCAGTTGACCCACTGCCATGCCACACTTGAGCCATCACCGTTCTATACATGATGGACTGCTGTGCTCTAGTTGACTCACTGCCATGCTACACTTGACCAACTGTCATTCTAACCCTAATCCATCACTATGCCATACTTGACCCATCACCATGCCACCCTTAACCAACCTCCATCCTACACCTGACTCACTGCCGTTCCACACTTTACCCATCACCATGCCACACTTGACCAGTTGACCCACTGCCATGCCACACTTGAGCCATCACCTTTCTATACGTGATGGACTGCTGTGCTCTAGTTGACTCACTGCCATGCCACACTTGACCAACTGTCATTCTAACCCATCACTATGCCACCCTTGACCAACCTCCATCCTACAGATGACTCACTGCCATTCCATGTTTGACCCATCACCATGTTACACTTGACCTACCACCATGCCACACCTGACCAGTTGACCCACTGCCATGCCACACTTGACCAACTGCCATTCTAACGTTGATTCATTACTATGCCTTACTTGACTCATCACTATGCCACCCTTGACTAACCTCCATCCTACACCTGACTCACTGCCATGCCACGTTGGACCCATCACCATGTTAAAACTGACCTACCTCCATGCCACACCTGACCAGTTGACCTACTGCCATGCCACCCTTGACTATTCTCCATTCTACACTTGATGCACCGCCATGACGCACTTGACCTGCCCTGCCGTACCACATTTGACCCACCTTTATGACTCACCGTTGTGTCACACTTGACCCACCACCATGCCACACATTCCCTGTCCACTATGGAGCAGTCGTTCGACCCCCAACATCACTACACCCTAACGTTTGCCCACTGGTCAGGATTGGACTTTGGGGGGAGGGGTGGGCAGGATGCTGGCTGCACCTTCTTTAAGGTGAATTGTTACTTTGTTTCCTCTGGATAAATCAGAAGAACACTTTCGGAGATCCATAACTTCCTTTCTTCCTCCAGAGAAGTTGCTGTGATTGTATAAAATCCAGAGTCCTCCTACCAACTGCCGCTTCTCCTCCCCTTCTAAACATTCTTTTTTTTTTCGTACTCTGTCTCCGTCTTCCTACTCCCTCCCCTCCCCCCTCTCTGCCCATTCCTGGCCGGTTGTTGGGTATTGCATCATGATGGGTGGGTGAGGGAAGGCCGGGCAATATTTGAATGAACACAATAAATGGAGGCGATCGGAGCACGCGGCGCTGTGTGCTCAGACTGGGTGGATCTCCGGGACAGATGCAAGTGGAGATAGCCTGGGCAGCTGACTAGCTGCAGAACAGATATCAGGCTTCAGGTGGCTCCTCATGGAACTGATCCTTCTGTACGGCAGAGGGGAGACACCAGCCAACCGATTGGACTGATAGAACTTCCTCCCTGAAGGATGATTTTTTTTTTTTTTTTTGCAACAATGTTTGTTTTGTGATCCCGAACGCTCGATGTGATTGGTGGAAATGAAATATTCTGAAATGTGTGAATGTTGGAATCTGCACAAAGTAGATGTGTGTGGCCGGGCTTTGTCTACCTCGAAGTGGGCGATGATCGCCGCAAACGTCTGCCATTAAAGTGTGCGCAAGGG